AAAAAAAAAAACAACTTCAGGAGCAAGACCATCTCTCTCACAGCTTGGTGTCCCTAGTGTCTGGCACATAATATACATAAAATGAAATTGAATTTAAAAAACTTTTCCTCTGCCTCTTAACTTCTTGCCTTGTACCACTCCCAGCAGCTCACTACTCTACCTCATACTATTTCTTGAGAACTTTATTTTTTGCTCTGATGAGAGAAAGAATAAACCCAAAAGGCAAAATATTGACGACAAAGATTAAACTCTGAAAATTATAAATTGTTTCCTTTCCTGTGATCAGGATTAAAGGAATTCTTTTTTAAAAAAACAACTCTTTAAACTAGTTAAGTAGCTATTTAAACCATTATGTGACCTTCTTGGGGTTTGGGGTAGGGAGTGTCATATACTTGAAAGAGTACAGAAGTTGATCCATTAAAGTGTGGGAAGAAAACATTAAAACTTCAATCCAACTAGTACATTAGTAAACATATATAGTTCATAAATGAATTCTGTACATTGAGACGCATGCCTAAAAATGTTGATGCAGTCATACCTCACACTAGGAAGACAGTCATGAGCAACTTTTAACCAAATAAAATTGGCCTTAAAACATCCTCCAGCTTTCAGACTTCCAAATTACACTAAACTTTTTACCTTGTTCATTTGTGAACCTAACAATTAGTCATTAAGTGTTCTTACCCAAGAACACAGGGGAAAGTATAAGCTCAGTGCATATCATAGCCCATAGTTAGACACAGTAGCTAAGGCATAGCCTAATTGTTTAAAAGCAGTAGAGGCCCGGACCGAGTTGGTGAAAGTTTCTTCTGAGCTCGTTTTAGAAAATGAACTTAACTTGTAAGCCCCACATGCTGTGGAAAGTCTATTAAATTTCAACCAAACTCAGCACTTTTCAGCAAATAGCCTAACATCTATTAAATTCTTGTCTTCTAATCTTCATCTAAAATGCTGCAACCTACTTAATCCTGCTACTTACTCTCTCACCTCCATCTAACGATGAAGACCACAATTGTGTAAGTGCAGTATTGGAAATAGTGGTCCCCTCGTGTTGATTATTTAGATAGTCCACTGGGTAAACCCGAGTTAATACCTTTTATTGATGGGTCCCTTGATGGCCAAAAACTTAGAAGAAAAAAAATCAGGTAGCTATGCTGTTAGAACTCAAAATGAGCTAAAAGAGAAGGGAATTCCTCCCCTATTTAAGACAGCTCAACCTATGGAGCTTTTTGCTCTCACTTGAGTATGTCATATAGCTAAAGGCAATTCAGTAAATGTACAGATAGTAGAGATGCTTTTGGAGTAGTCCATGATTTCAGCATCTATGGGAAAGAGAATTTGTTACTTTTAGTGGGATCCCCATCAAAAATGGACTCCAAATAGATGAACTCCTTTCTCCTAACCTGTTACAATCACAGATTTCTCATTATTAAGACTGAACCTACGTATAAAGGGAATACCCCGGCAGATTTTTATGCTAAATCTGCCAGTGCTGAAACTGTTAGGATAGGCAATTTGAATGAGTTCCGTAAGATTGAGCCAAGTCAGCTCCCTATGATGACTTATTTAACAATGCACCTGATTTGGAAAAACAAAACTAGTATCTAAAAAAGGACGTAAATTTGTGCTTGCTTCGGCAGCACATATACTAACATTGAAACAACACAGAGATTAGCATGGCTCCCGCACAAGGATGACATGCAAATTCGTGAAGCATCCCATATTTTAAAATAAATAAATAAATAAACAAAAAAACAAATAAAGAAACAAAGAACATAAATTTAATGTTAAATGTGGACTCACAGAGAGCCTGGATAGCTGCCTGGTTCTTCCCAAGTCATTGAAACTTCCATTGTTAAAAAGTCTGCACTCTACAACTCATCATGGAATAGAGAAAATGATTCAGATTACAAAAAACTATATATTGGTGGAATGACTGTTTCACAATTGCTAAAATAAATTGCAACCAATGTTTGGTTTGTCAGACTCAATCCTGGGAAAACAATGAAAACTCCGAGTGGTCTATTTCTACCACCTGATGGACTATTTGAATATTTACAGACTTCATTCAGTTGCCATTCTCACTGGGAGATCACTATGCACTTATAATAGTGTGCATGTTTTCTGGTTGAGTAGAGGCTTTCCCATTCAGGGACAGTAGCTAAGACATTACTAGAAAGTGTATTTCCTTTATGGGGCATCCTGGAATCCTGGAGAAACCTCCAGCAGTGGGGAAATGCATTTTACTTGGCAAATTATGAAGAGTTAAATATGATGTCATGGATACAGTGGCATCATCATCGTCCCTATCACCCTGAGTGTTCTGGAAAGATTGAAAGAACAAATGTCATCTTAAAACTGAAATTTTTAGCTGAATCAAGCAGGTTGCCCTGACCAAAGGCATTACAATTGGTTTTAGTGACAATCACATCTACTCCCATAGATTGACTCTTTATGGAATAGTTACTTGAAGTCATATGATCCTAGAAATAGGACTTTATGCATCTCCTGCTCTCCTAAATGCTAGAATGACTAAATATTGCAAGGATTTAACACATTGTGCCAATCTGTATTTTCATCAGGTAAAGGAAGCTTTTTGTGATCCATCAGCCTTGGACACTCAAACTCTTCATGGTTGAAAAAGCAGGGATTAGGTCTTTCAGAAATGACATCAGAGGAAGCCTGCCCTTGAACCTCCTTGGAAGGGACTGTACCAAGTTCTTCTCACCACCTACTCTGCAGTGAAGCTTCAGGGCTTCCAACCTTGAGTCCACATCTCACAACTCAAAAGAGCCCAAGGCTCTTGAAACTGTAAAACTGTTTGAAACTTTAATGTAAAAATGGCCAGGGAAATTTCTCCCCAGAAGTAGGTAATATCCTACATGGAAAAGCTTTCCCAAGATCATGGATCAAGACGTCTCTGCCCTCAGGAAAGGTTTCACTTTTCTTCTTTTTCTTTCATCTTCTGTTATGCAAATCCTTTCCTTTCCTTTTTTTTTTATTTACTTAATTTATTTTTTTCTTTTTAATTGTTTTTTATTAAATCATAACTTTGTACATTGATGCATTTATGGAGTTCAGGGTACTCCTTCAATATACAATGTGAAATGCTTACATTAAGTAACACATCCATTACAATTATACTCAAATCTTAATAGTTTTGAAAGGTACCATTGCATCATGCACAGTAGGTGAGGTCCCCCGCCGAATACCTTCCCTCCTCCCATATCTCCCCTCCGCTCTCACTCCTCTTCCCTTCTACTTTCTGGACTATAGTTATAGTAGGTGGTTATATATTGATTTCATAGTAGTATTGAGTACATTGGATACTTTTTTTTCCATTCTTGAGATACTTTACTAAGAAGATTATGTTCCAGTTCCATCTAGGTAAACATAAAAGATGTGAAGTCTCCATCTTTTTTAAGGCTGCATAGTATTCCATGGTGTACATATACCACAATCCTTTCCCTTTTTTTAATGGGAAAATCCTTAGTACCATAATCAGTAGATGGCTTTAGCTATAGTTTACACTCTAGCCACAAAACCAGAACAATTGTTGGGTTTGTGGACTAATGCCCAAAATATCAGGAAACAATTCCATGAATGCCTCTCTGTGTACCCAAAGAGAGTCGCCCTAAAACACCAAAGGAAGTGTGGAAAATTGTTCTCAGTATTTTAAACATAGTTATTACTTGCTTTTTTACATGGACTACAAACACTATTCTAACCTTTCCAGTTAATAAACTGATCCTTACCAAATACAGAACAGCTATCTGAGTGACACCTGCAAAAGGTATATTATGCTTCTAGGCATTGTGCATTTAAGACCGGGAATTACCTATGTGGGTAAAAGTAATTGTATGTGTATAGTATCACTGAATTAAATCCAGTAGAGTCCTTTTCACTAAATTTGTTTACATGCTATATAGCATACTATAAAGTAAATTTCCAACCATACCATGCTTAATAGCTAGCTATGCAGATTTATGGGTGAACAAATTTAACTGACCCTTGCTCAAACACAATTAGGTGGCCCTGGATAAGAGTTGTATAACAACCTCTGAGGACCTAGATTGGGTCTGCAGAGAATCTGCTTATTCTATTCTCCTGCCTCTCAAGTTCAGATCTTGCTATTTAGGTGGCTCATTCTCCCTCTGAAAGTCCCCATAATAGCTCCTACACTCAGAGGCCAAAATGGTCAATAACCAAAATTAGCACCAACCTTGAAACAGATGAAGATAAGCTAGTTTCCACTGAGGAAAGATTCCACTGGCATTCCTGGAGCTCACTCTTGGCAGTGTAGGGTACCAAGTATATGGAATTTGAAGGTAACCTATAAATTGGGGAAAATCCTGGATTTTGTATCCAATCAGACCGAGTAGAAGCACTCTCTGAAGATGAATGATAACATAGGAGTTCAACCAAAACACTTAATAAAACATCACATAGGGTGCCGGCAACTAGGGTGCCGACCACGTACAGTAGGGCTGGCAGGTTCAAACCCGGCCCTGGCCTGCCAAAACAACAACAACAAAAAAAAATAGCCAGGCGTTGTGGTGGGCACCTGTAGTCCCAGCGACTTGGGAGGCTGAGCAAAAGAATCACTTAAACCCAAGAGCTTGAGGTTGCTGTGAGCTGTGACGCCACCACACTCTACCAAGGGCAACAAATATAGTGAAACTGTGTCTTAAAAAAAAAAATCACACAGCTTAGATCTTTTTTTTGCCTAATTGGGGGTTACATTTGGTATTGAACAAAACTGAAATTTGTACTTTTCTCTCCCTAATTTAAAAGGTGACTGGTACTGCTGTTTTGTGAGGCAATGTCACCAAACATTCAGGAAATTTCTCAAGATAAAGAAACACATGGGCGGCACCTGTGGCTCAAAGGAGTAGGGCGTCAGCCCCATATGCCAGAGGTGGCAGGTTCAAACCCAGCCCTGGCCAAAAACTGCAAAAAAAAAAAAAAAGAGAGAGAGAGAGAGAGAGAAACACATGGTGTATTTACAAGAGCAACTAACAGCTGGTTTGCAGACATTCTAATGGTGGATGACAAGCTTGGGTTTTCCAGGGTTTCCTAATCTTTATGTTTCTTCTAATGAGTCTCCAGGTTATTATGACTTGTGTTACCAAGCTGACAACAAAAATGGACACCTCTTTAAATCAGGCCATTTTATAGCAAACTATGGTCCCATCACACAGGAAACAAGGACTATGGCAAATTAAACTCAAACACTGTTGGGCTGTCTATATTGCCTAAACTTTGACTTGACTTGGTTTGGCTCATTCCAGGACTCTTATTAAGGAATACACCTTGGTCTTTTGGTATCATCCTCTTGATAGTTATCATAATCACTCCCCTGTGTGCTGTATCCTCTCAAGCCTTAAATCAGTGGTTCTCAACCTTCCTAATGCTGCGACCCTTTAATACAGTTCCTCATGTTGTGGTGACTCCCAACCATAAAATTATTTTTGTTGCTACTTCATAACTGTAATTTTGCTACTGTTATGAATTATAATGTAAATATCTGATATGCAGGATGGTCTTGGGCGACCCCTGTGAAAGGGCCATTTGACCCCCAAAGGGGTCGCGACCTGTGCTTTAAATGTTTGTATGCAGATATTCACTGAGCATTGAAAGGTGTTACTTTTACTAAATCAGCAATAACATAAAGAATTACTTGAATAATGTGATATTGTGAATTGTAAATTACAAATGGGACCAAATAATTCCTTTTATAACAATGACCAAGAGTAACCTCAATGCTCAAAATTGAGAGGTTGACCAAAAGAGGGGAATTATAAAATCAAATTAAATTTGGCCTGAGAAAGCCTCTGTACTCACATACTTGAGTCCTTACAGACAACTGCAATGTAACTTAGATGTAAATAAACCGAAAACCTGACTTAGGAGTATTATTCTGTAATACATACCAAAGTTTCAGCCAATCACAGCAGTCATCATTTGGTCAATCAAACTGTGTCCAGATAAAGCAAATGTTCAGCCACAACCGATCCAGCTGTTTCTGCACCCCATTTCCATTTTCTGTACACCACTTTCCTTTTTATGTCCATAAATGTTATACAACAATGTATCAGTCCTGAGTCCTGGAGTTTCTCTAAATTGGTTCTGGGTCTAGGGAGCTGTCCAATTCATGAATCATTCTTTGCTCAATTAAACTCTATTAAACTTAATTTGTCTGCAGTTTTTCTTTTAGCACTTATATTCAAAAATTATCATGACATTTTAACTTAACTACTTTCGATATATAGAGTTACCCATATAAAAATGACATATACAGATTTTAAAGGTCCAATGATTTTATGTAGTACTATACTTATTAGAGAGAGGAGAGACAGAAAGGAAGAGAAGGAAAGGAGAGGAGAGAAAAGACCAGAGAATGAAAATTTTTTAAATCTCAAGAGAATAACTTAACGATCTCATGCATATCGCTAACACTTCTATGACTGAAACTCCAAGTGTTAAACATATCTAACAGCCATTTTTGTTAGCCAATATAAAACAATACATAAATGTTCAGAATAAAGTGATTTACAGAGACCAGTTTACCCCTACAGAAACACAAAGCTCAGTGTGGCCTGGCTGGACATCTGATTTGACACTCTTCACCTATTGGCCTTTCCTGAACTTTGACCCCTACGTGGTCCTTGCCCCTCAGCCAGAAGGTTGTTTGTATTATCTGTTCTGCTGTCCTCTAATTGTGCATT